ATTAAAGTGCTGTGACCCAGGAGCTGGAGATGGGGTCAGCCAGTAGAGTGGAAGTGAAAGTTGGTCGGTAACAGACCGAGAGACTTCTCAGTTTATAAAGATGTTATGTTCTTCCATGCATCCCCCTCTGTTCTTTTATTTCACATTTGTGTTTGTGTATGTGTGTGTGTGTGTGTGTGTGTGTGTGTGTGTGTGTGTGTGTTTATCACATGTCTAATGTTTTCCTTTGTCTTCATCTCATCCATCCATCATGACTTCCTGCGGAGAAGCCGGTGTTGAAAAGTAAGGACTGTAAGTTTTTCTTCTAGGTATCGGGGTTTGGTGGAGGCAGCACTTTAACAATGGCCCAGTTCCATTTTGGCAGAATGACCCCCTTACTCCCCTTCACTTCCCCTTGGGCTGTTCCATATGGTACAAGTAGGGAAGAGCAATATCTAGGCTACATGGAGCACCTCGCAGCAGAGAGCGGGGGGTCAGATATTAGTTGATGTTAGCAAAATTCTTTTGTTGACAATCCAATCAATTTATTAGGAGAATCACTCAGCAGAAAATCTTTTGGGGAAGCTGATGGAAGATGTGATCATTCTGCATGGGTTGCTGTGTGTGTGTGTGTTGTGTTGGGGGTTATCCCTGTGTGTAACTGCTCCAAATATCAGCACATCTGTCACATCCCTCCATCTAGGCCAGCAGGTGATATGAGGGCGACGTCTCTTACTCACACACAAAATACACACGGGTTCTGTGTTTTTGCATGTCGTGGTTGGACTTGTTTCTTATCTCGTTGAGGCTTGTTCTTGTCTTTATAATTGTCTAATTTCTGCTGCAAATTTACAGCAATGAGTAATATGATCTCTGAATATATATTTTTAGTGGAACACTTCATATTCATCAACTTTGATGTTTAACCCTATAAGCAGTTTAACATGTTCAGCTTGGATACATCTGTTGATAGTTTATAATGTTGTTATTGTCAATATACCCCATGAAAACACCAAAACCAACAATGTGTGAATCCGTCTCTCAATACTTTTTGAATATATAATTCAATCTAAAAAAAAGTCTCAGTAATTTCCCAAAACAGCTGAGTCCTGTAGTTTTTATCCATCAAACAGAAGGAAATAGTGCATTGTTCTGGACTACTTTCAGCAGTGGGTTAATCCAAATTTGATGTTCCAGTGAGTGTTTGTAGCAGCAGGATGGTGTATGTGGGATGTGTTCATAATAAAGATATGTCACCCAGTGCAACAGTGGGGCTCACTAATGTATATTTATTGTCTTTTTTATTATTATTTTTTTTAACAACACTAGAGGAATCAGATATATTAGCCACTCAATTCACAAACAATACCTGTATCCTGGTTTTGGTTTTTGGTTTTAAAATGATTTTTGACAGTAAGAAAACAGAAATAGACTTTTCATTTGAAATGAAACAGTGTCTGCTTGTGACCTCTCATCACAGGTTACATTTGTCAGTGAGCACACTTACTTGCGTAAAAAATATTCTGGTTTTTGCTGTTATTCTGACAAAGACATATTTCTACTAGGCTGTTTATCATGTGAAAATGTGCAGTGGAATGACTGGAGCCGCTTTGACGCTTTGCTTTTTTGCATCAAAATATATATATATTTTTTTAAGTTTCCTACTAGTGGTGGACTTATTGGACTGTGTGACCACAGCCTCTGTCTTTCATTTAGTCCGCCACCGTCTTGAAAAGGTCGGCACTGCGACATTTGCAACTTTTCAGTAAGTGGTTGATATCCAACTTTTTCATAATGTTTAAAAGTTGGTGTGTCTCTCCATCCGAGCAGAAATATTTGTTTTTTCTTTTGGGCATGTATCACCACATCAGCCTTGCAAATTGTCGGCAAGCTGGTTTGTCTACATCATATGCATGACAATACACAGAACTGACTAAACAGACAAGAGGCCGAGTGTTGCGAGCTGTGGTAAAAACCCCAGTTGTAGTGCGTATTCTAAATGTGCTGTATACATGCCCAGAGAATGCTATTAAAACACGAATGATATCAGCACTTCCCATATGTCTTATTCTAAAAATATATAAATAATATAAAATGGGTAGAGTGGCTAACCTTCCCCTCCCTCCCCGTGTTGTTGTATACATCCATCCATTAGGAGCCAGTGGGTGGACTGAACGCTGCAGGCTTCCCTCTGGCTGGAGTACACTCAGCATGCACAGTCTTTTTCTGTAACTGGAGGCCCGCACTAACTCTTTGTTGCAGCTGCTACAGTAATCATTTCACATGAATGTAGTTAACCATTAAAAACATTAACAACTACGAGGTGGGAAAATCCTTTAGATGTTGCACATTTGAGGGGAAAAGGGCTGTGAGAGCTTTAACTGATCAAGGATCTACACGCCTGCTTTGTATGTTGTATTGACCTTGATAACTTAAAGACTAAAATATAATCCAAAATTCTGACCAATATCGTGAGACACTCCATTAGATTTCATCAAATGATATCGATCTCTGAAGTCCTTGAATTGAGCATCCATGTGAGTGGGGTGAGATTGTTTTAATCATAGTGTTTTAATGATCTGATTACATTTTCTGTTAATGCAGTGAATAACCTAGAAATAATATTACTGTTATCTACAGAGAAACATGTACTTAACTGTAATTAAATCAACAGAAAAATATAAATTAAGTTAGCATTTAGAACATCAAAAAGAGATGTATGTTAGTCTCAGTTCAGTTCATTATTATGTTAAAGGCCACGTGGGAAATTTATAAAACACACAATTTTAAATTGCCTTTAGTTTGTCCGTTAACTTAACTTAATATATCATACAGATAGATCATATATAATGTGTGTCTAACTTTGTCTAGGGTTAATTTATGTTAAAATACAAATATTAAGTTAATTACTCTGGGAGTTTTGGGGGTGGAATGACCCCTTTTGTTGAATCACAAATTTTGCTTTAAAGGGATAGTTCAGCTTTTTTTTAAGTGGGGTTATATGAGGTCATAGTCAGTATCCATAGTCAGTATATTACCTACAGTAGAGTCGGCACGCCCCCAGTTTGGAGAAGCAGGCTGGAGTCCGACATGGAAGCTAAGCGATGTACTGCTGTGGACGGGGGTCAGAAAAAAACATGTATTTTAGCCACTGAAAAAAAAAAAATCCAGCTAAAAAAATCATTATCAGTTAAAGAGTTTGTTATATTGTGAGTATTTTTACTGCTTTACTTTTTCATCAGACAGGCTCTTGTGACAGCTTCCCCATCTATGCGCTCACCAAAGCCACCGGACTCCATTGACAAAAACAGTAATTTTAGCTCACTAAACAGCTGAGCTGCTGGTCTACCACTGTGTCAATTATTTAGTTAGTTTGTGTTATAGTGTAAATCCAAACAAACCCTTTTAAACAGCAAAGTTACACAATAACATAAACTAACTGATTGAGGCAACAGTAGACAGGCAGCTCCTGTCTTCAGCAATCTTAAATCACTATTTATCTCAATCGAGTCTGGCTTTGAGGAGAGCAATACAACAGCTTCATTGTCCGTTGGAAGCCACTGAAAATACTCTCAATATAGTGCACACTTAAACTGATATTGATTTTTGTAGGTGGCTAAAATACTTTTTGTTGCTGACCCCCTAGCTTCCATGTCAGATTCCTGCCTGCTCCTTCAGTCATGGGGTGTGACAACTGACATCTATGTATGTATACTTAGTATAGAGAAGTACCCCATACAACACTACCTGCAAAAAATATGAACTATCCCTTTGATGGAATGATATTACATTTAAAATAAATGTGTAACATCAAACTGTGAATGGAGACACATTGGTCAATAAAAATCACTGCTAACGTAGAACTGACAAGCTCATAGTAAGTACCTAAATCTAAAAATCAAAATTAGAGAACAGCCCCCCAAAAAAGTAACACTGCTGTAACTAAAATGTTTGGATGGAGATTAAAACTTAAAAGGCTTTGTCCTGCTTTAACATGCATCCTCTAAATCAGCTGCTGTAGATTTGGTAAAGGTTGTTCATATGATGCCATCTACTGTTTATCTTGCAGCATTACATTTTTTAAATCCTTCCAGCAATGGCATGATGAACATGTGTAGTTTTAGTTTAATTAACAACATTGTGTTGTAAAAATTGTTGTTGCATAAAATTTAAGGGGAAAATCTTCTGTGTTTGCCTCCTGTTTGTCTTCTAATTAGGTGTGCATCTTTAAGACCAATATAAGATAGAAAATGAGTATAAATAAACAAGTTCACTTTTTTAATATTCCTTTGAACTCCCTCATCCACTCCTGCACCATTCTAACTTTGAGTCTGTTCTTATCAATATTTTTATATGGCTGCACAATGGATGAAATGACATGTAATATGCAAAGGGTCACCAATAGTGACAAAACCATACAGAATTATCACCTCATTGTGCAGTTCCCCACAGGGTTCCTACAGTCATGGAAAACATGGAAAGGTCATGGAATTTCATAATCACATTTTCCAGGCTAGGAAAAATTGTGGAATAAGTCAAAATCATTGAAATTTCTGGAAAAGTTTTGGAATTTTGTTGAATATAATAAAATTGCTACAGTAATTTTCCGTAGATAACCTTTACATAATGTAACATAACGGCAAATTCATTTTCTGCAGCTGTCGACTTGACATAGCTTTAACATGCGTCAATGTTTGACAGTGTTTGGTTTACCATTGCATATGTTTTATCATTTTCTGCCTGGGTTTGTCTTTCCCTTCAGGTATGCCCCCTAGCTGAAATTATGGTTGAATAGATTTTGAATCTGATGTTGGAAAATGGCAAGGTGGGGCAGGAAAAAAAAATCTTTATTATGGGTGCCTTAAAAATCATGGAAAAGTTTGGAAATTTTGTCCAAGAAAATGTGTGGGAATGCTGATTTCAGTGTTTGCTGTTAACTTTTTAATATTATATTTGGTTGTCTATCATCCGTCGCTCTGTTTGACCCTGACTAACCTGTCACCTCCTCTCTTCTCTCTCAGGCCTCCCACAGACGACTCAGGAATGCGTAACAACGCTGCAGTTGCTGCCCTTACCTCCACCCCTCCCAGCAGCCTCCCATCCCAGACGAACCCCTGCAGCCCGCCAGACTCCGGCTCCTCCCTCACCCCCTGCTCCTCCCTGCCGCCCTCTGTGTCCCCCACCCTCACAGATGTCTTCGGCCTGCCCACTCCGCCCATGGGCAGTGGTGGCGGTTACAGCCTGAGTTCCTCGTGTGGTGGCAGCGGGAGCTCGCGCTCCCCATCGCCACTCACACTGATGCAGGCGGTGGCGGCCTCAGGCAAGCCCTTTGCCTCCAAACCCATGGAGCTTTGGAGCAAGCACGATGTGGCAGACTGGCTGGAGAGCCTCAACCTGGGCGAGCACAGGGACGCCTTCCTGGACAATGAGATCGAGGGCGCCCACCTTCCCTCGTTGCAAAAAGAGGACCTGATAGACCTGGGCGTGACAAGGGTGGGCCACCGCATGAACATCGAGAGGGCCCTCAAGCTGCTGCAGGACAGATAAGCCCCGAGGAGATGGGGTGGCGACATTCGGAGTCAGGGCCGAGGAGAGGGAGGTGTTACCGATCACTTTTACCAATCTCTTCATCAGACATAATCTCAAGTCGTTGAACTGGGTAGAAGTTTTGTCCAAGCTGATGCTGCCTCTTGCTGTTTTTGTCCTCTCTCATCCTCCGTCGCCCTCATCTCAGTGCTCCGGTCTTGTCCGCCCTCTTCTTCCTTACCACTGCCCTGAGCATCAGGGGATCATGGGATGTCGGGCGGAAATGCAGGGGGAGAGAGAAGAAAATAGCTGCTATGTCACATCAAGGATAGCGAAAGCAGAGGAGGCCACTATGAAGGGGTGACCAGAAGTGAAAAAACTCTGGAATAGTGTGTATTCAAACACTGGAAAAAATACTCTCCTGGAAGTTATTTCACATAAAGACTTGTGCTCACCCAACTGCTTTGGAATACTGAAGACTTTTTCCATACACCCTGGTGTGGGTGCATGAAAAACCAGCTGAGCTGGTCGTTGCTCCTTTTCTATCTTTGCTAGAGTTTGTTCAGAGAATAATATTTCTTCACTAGAGTCCTACCGGAGTTATATTTCTGGGTGCATCTAAGGTTGTAGAGAAAAATTTGAGATAGACTCCATTTTTTTGCTTTTCACCTGTTTGTGTTAAAATAAGAACATTAGCTAACATATTTAAATAAATACTAAACCATATATCGTGTCCATGCACACACACACATACACACACACACACTTTATGCACAGTGCCACACACTGACAAATGAGGTGACACACTCTTCACAGACATACACACCCTAAGCATGTGTACACACACTGTTACTGCAATGGCCTTTTTCTCCTGAGAGAGAGCAAAGCGTGGAGAGACGTGGTCACCAGAGGAGGAGCTCTGCTGTAGCAGGGGCCCAGGGCCCAGGGCCCCTCGCCAGTCTACACCCACCCGGTGTCCACCGCACCATACAAGGGAAACCGAGGAGAGGACATGAGGTACAAGATGGACAGACAAATGTTGGACTAAAAAAATTCTCACCTTGAAATGGCTTTTACCAGCTTGTCTGTCTGCAAAGGCTGTCCTTGTCCCTCTTGGCTTTTCCCTCTAGTTTGTATGTATGTGTGTGTGTGTGTGTGTGTGTGTGTGTGTGTGTGTGTGTGTGTGTGCGCGTGCGTGTGCGTGCGTGCGTGTCAGTGGTTGATCCAAAATGTTATTAAGGCCAGTTAAGCTATTTTCATGGATCTGCTATAGGCCACAGTATAGGGAAACTAGAGCTGTTCTTTACTTCTATACTTTACTTTCTTCATTCTGTCAAATCTCCTTCCACTTCACCATTAGCAGGTCAACACTTTGTGTTCATATAGCCCCACAGAAAATGCTAATGTATAAACACCCTGTGAGTATGTGGTAGAAGTTGAGGTTTATTAGAGAGAGTGTCCCAAGGTTCATGTTTAAAGGAATAGTTTGAAATTTTGGGAAATACGCTTATTTTCTTTCTTGCTGTGAGTCAGATGAGAAGCTGGAGCTGGGTGAAGATAACCTAAAGGTCCAGAGACACTAAACCGTCATCAAAAAACCAGCGGCGACAACAGCTGACTGTTGTGTCGCCTCACATCACCTGTGTCTTGACTGAGAAGTTGCACATGAACACACTGCAAAGACTACAGCTGACAGCTAGCCATTATGTACGCTCTGTACCCACATAAGAGGAGATAACTCTCCACACCAGCAGACAGTGGTAGTCGATATTTATCATTCAAAAAGGGAAATAGGAAGACCACCTTGATGCTTGTTAGCCAGTTACCAAATTCACAACACAATCCAATGTTGAAAGAACAGAGCATATTTACCGTGCACCAGTGAACAATAGCATAAACCAGTGGTTAAAGAAAATGATCTTACAAGTTTGTTTTGATCTCACTTCCTCTTGACTTTAGCTCTTTATTACTTTTCTCACTTCGTTTCTCTTCTCGTGTGCTGAGCTGAACTGCCAATCAGAGTGATTTCATTCGTCAACAGGCTCCACAGTCACCAACGTCAATTCAACATGCTGAATTGGTTAAAAATAAAGCGGACAAAGGCTGACTAGTGTCAACAGTGCAAGACACACCGCAAAGACTAGGACAACAGATGTTTGGTAGCTTGCTAACATATTAAGCTAAACTGGTAAATCAGCATGTTAGCATTGTTATGTGGTCATCCCCATGTTCCCAGGTTCCTATGCTCTTGATATAAACTAAGCAATACACACACACACACACACACACACACATTATATATATATATATATATATATAGTGTGTGTGTGTGTGTGTGTGTGTGTATATATATATGTATGTATATATATAAACATTGTAAGAGAGTGGTACAGGCTGTCTTCACAGTTCCAAACTGCAAACAAATGAAGGGAGGTGGACATTTCAAATGCAATTTGACTGGTGATCATCAGTGCAGCTACTGTGGACATAAATGTCTAAAATCAGGAAAATTGTCTTGCAGGCAAATTTGAAGGCATAGGTTTCAAGGAGCATATCATTAGTAGGTTTTAAGCTGTAAGTGAGTGGTTTCAGCATATGACATAGAGAAATATGCATTGCTGAGAAAATAAAACTCTTTGAAAGGTCTTGTTAAAGTGACACATTAAGAGGATATAAAGCTGGGGAACATAGGACCCTGGGAACTTAGATATGCTTCCCATTATTATTGTGAGCATGTTAGCATGCTGATATTTGCATTTAGTTCAAAATACAGCTGTGACTAGTATAAATTCATAGAGCTGTTAGCATGACTGTGAACTGATGGGGCCCTAAATAAATTATCTATAGCACATGGTTTAAAGCACTGGTTCCAACCTGGGATCCTGACCCCAACAAGGGGTTGTGAAAGCTTCACAGGGGCTCACAAAGCCTTTGTGATTTTAAGGGGTGTAAGAAAAGTTTTGTTATAAATATACAGTTAGCCTATATCTCAGCATCTCATTCAATTCTGTGAGAAAAACTAAATTACATTACGATGAAATCTAATCTAAATCCAATCTAAAGTTTATATTATTACTTTAGGTATGAACTCAAAAATAAATCTCACAGGATAAGGGCACAGTGAAGATCTGAACACAACCTATACTCACTGAGCCTTCACTCCCTGCTAAACAGCCTTGTCCTGCATCAGAAAAGTACACAATTAAAACAACCAAAGAGCTAATAAAACAATGGCCAGGCGTCAGGGAGAGGAAAACACTAAATTTGTGAAAAAAGATGCCAATTAAGTATGTATGATGTTTAATAATAAAATTTAAAAAAAAACATGTAATACAGACAGAACTTTGTATAAAAAGTTACGGAAAATATCACAAAATACAAAATATCAAAACTATTCTGTGATTTAATACTCACAGGAAATAATGTTTTCAAAATTACTCCAAAGCACACGTTTTACACAAACTTATTGCAGTTATTGCTTTTTGGGTTAATTATACAGTTTATCAGTTGTACTATTATTGTATGTATTTAATAAATATATGAAATATCCATAAAATATGTCACTTAGTCATGGGTCTTTACTCAATGATAGACAAGTCATCCCTGAAAGGAAAAGGTTGGGAACCACTTGTCTGAAGTGTATGGCAAAAGTGCATTTAAGGCATGTCCAACCACTTTTGCCAGCTAAACAGCACAAAAATCTGGGCGCAAATGAAGGCGCAAGGGGCAAAGGGGTTGTATGTAGTTCCTTAATTAATCATAGATGTGTTTTCAGGGTACCCGCGGATCCTTGAAAAGTCTTAAAAAGTCTTAAATTCATGTATCTAAAAGTAAGGCCTGAAAATGTCTTAAATTCATTAGAAATGTCTCAAATTGGTCTTAAATTCATTACTCAAAGGTCTTAAAATTGTTGCGGAAGGAATATTTAATCTGACTTTATTTCTTTTCTTTTTTTTATTCTCGCGGCACTTTTCTGTGAGTATCCATGCGCCGTCCAATAACGGCGCGCGCTGGTGGTAGCACATACACAATGAATGGGTTCGTCGGTAGAGGTCTGCGCTTTGCGCACACTGTGTGAAAAGGGCTTAACGGCGCGCGCTGGCCACCTGGCACTCAATATGCTGCTGTAGTGGTTTGTTTTCCAGACGTGAGTATCTTTGAGCAGTGAAAGTTATTATTTATGACTTTTTACTTGTCGGCAGTGATTTGTTTTCCACAAAGCTCTACGTGCGAGCATTTTACTCGCATTTGCAACTAAAAATAGTTTTGTGCAAGCAAAATAAATCATTCAGCACACAGTGCGAGCCCAGATTTCAACCAGCAGCAGAAACGAAAGGCGAATCATGCAGGTTGTGGGTTGAACGGGGGTCACAGACAGGAATACGGTGGTTAAATAGCTTACGGCGGCTCTGCAGCGCAAAATAACGGCTTACCGTTGGCGACAGAGAAGTCCGACTACAGGTCCAGTAGCCTAATTTCCTCTTTTGTTGGCGTCATGACTGCCGTTCACATTTTTCTCTGTGGCAGGTAACGGCCCACAAACCTCACCGCACTTTAGGGACTGTTCTTTACTTGTCAGGGGAGGAGGGTGGCTGGTTGATTTTTATTTTATTTATACATTTTATTTTGATCCCCCCTATGTTAATCACTTATTGATGCTGTTTTTGAAGTATGAATAAGTCAATAAGTAATTTATTCCATTGAAATATCATTGATGTATTATAGAAAAGTAAAGAAATTTATCTTTTTATAAATGACAAAAGGCACATCTGCCTCATTTTCGCTGTGGTACCGTGATACTACTCAGAACCATGATACTTTCACTGGTATCGTACCGTGGGTCCCAATTTTGGTACCGTGACAACACTAGATGTCACAACCATTCCATTCGGAGTTGCGCAGTGAAGCGGCTCTGGTGCCACTTAAAAAAGTGTTCCCCCACTTCTAATTTTACAAATTAAGCACTGGTTATAGTACAGTGGGATCCCCCAACCATCGCTTATATTTATAGTTTTTTCGGTCTTAAATTCAATTCAAGGTGGCATTAAAAAGGTCTTAAAAAGTCTTAAATTTAACTTACTGAAACCTGCAGATACCCTGATTTTGGGCTTAACATGAATTTAACCAATCAGAGTGTCATCTCCCATTCACTTAAAAAGCAAGGTGTGCCTGCACCTGATGCACTGGTGAATATGTGGCGGATTTGACAAATTGGAGCAGTGAGCAGTTTTCTGCTGAGAGTAAGAGCAGTAATGTCACTGCAGCAAATATCATTGCACATTTAAGCAGCAAAACTAAAAACTGTAGTGAGGAACTTGACAGAGGCAACAGAACTTAACTTGTGTGTTAATGTGCACAGCATCTCTCTTAATGGGGAGTCAGACAACAGCTCTGTAGCTCTGCTGTGATCTCTGCTACGTTCATATTTTACACAATGTCATTAATACTTTCCTCAATGATGTATTCACCCACCCACATTCCATCCGTATGTCCCTGTGCATGTAACAAGCAGAGTGTATGCACATAGTCAACCTGCCTATGTAGGTGCATCTTATATCTGAATAATGTGCCCTTTAGCATGGAAATACTGCACCATTCTAACTTGAGACCAAGTTTTTTTTGGTGAATGGCGCAGTTGTTTTCTGCTGTCTCAAAATAGCAATATACCAACAATGCGCCAGACTACACTTTATTTTAAGACTTATACACCCATGGGCACATATATTTGACAAACTAAGAAATGAGCAGTTTTCTGCTTAAAGTAATGCAGTAAGAGCAGTAATGTCACTGTAGCAAATATCATGGGACATTAAAGCAGCAAAATTAAAAACTGTAGTTATAAACTTGACAGAGGTAACAAAACTAAACTTTTAGCGTCTGAAATAATCAAGGAAGTTACACTGCTCCTCGTGCGTAAATGTGCACAGCACCTCTTTTAATGGGAAGTTGGACAGCAGCTCTGCAGCTTTGCTCTGCTCTCTGCTATGTTCACATTTTATACAATGACATTAATATTTTCCTTATTAATGAAGTATTATTTCACCCACCCACATTCCATTCGCATGTCCCTGTGTGTGTAACAAACAGAGTGTATGCATATTGTGAACCTACCTCTGTAGGTGCATCCATATTGCACCTTATTCAGATATCTGAATAATGTGCCCTTTAAATATCAAGAAAATACTGCACCATTCTGACTTAAGACCAGGTATTCGTTGGTCAATGGCGCAATCACTTTCTGCTGCCTCAAAATAGCTAACCACCAATAATGCACCTAACCACACCCTTTTTTATGACCTAAACCCTCATGGGCAAACAGATGGCTGCAAGTACGTTTGCTACTTACACAACATGGGAACTGGCTGTGTAAATGACAACTAGCGATGAGAGTGACGCTGTGCTGTGCGTTGCATTGCGCCGTAAGATAGAGCCCTGGGTCTTTAGCTGGTTTACCTGTTTTCAATCTTTATGTTAAGCTAAGCTAATTGTCTCCTGGCTCTAGCTCCATATTCACCTTATCATTTTGTCATCAAACTCAGCAAGAAACTGAAGAAGCGTATTTCCCAAAATGTCATTTGACAGCATCTTATTCACTTTAAATCCAGTGTCAAATCCTTTTGGAGGCTTTTCTAGCTTTCAACCATTTGAAATAACATAAGTTATAAGTTATAATCTGAGGACTGAAACTCATAGGTTGGCATTTAAAGAGCTCCAATTTTACTAGAAAAATGATGTGTTTTCTATATAGCTAACTGACTACCTGAACATTTTGTACATTACTCAAAGTGTGAGAATTAAGACTCAATAAGAGATTTGTAAGCATCAAGCTAATTTGAGCTCAGCTTCAACCAGATCGCACATGAACCAAACAGCATCTCAGACTGGATCAGCTGTTCAGAGGAACACAGAGTTCTAGGAGGAACTACTGTTTCAGACGGAAAAGGCCTTAGAAGAATGTTTTCTTCTCATAAAGAAGGCTGAAGACACAACACTGCATTAACAAAGTTGTTGCAGGCTGATACTGGCAGCCCCTACACAGATTTTTCTTAGAAATGTATCAGTGGGTTCATTCTTTGTAGAGCAACCTCAGCCAGATGACATGAAATCCAGCTGAACTGTTGGCTTTTAGAGCAGATGGAGATTCTGTGGCTTCAGGGTTTTATGTCGAATTACGTGTTCACGTAAGTCCACATGCCTTGTCCTGCCCTCTAACCACTGTGCAAAAAATAACCAGAGAACAACCTGACAAAGCCGGCAGATGTTCATCAGTGTGAGCCCTGTGTGAGATTAGAAAGGGATAGAAACCATT